TAAAGAAAAGAATCAGAACTTCTTCTCTTCCAAACAAAGCTTGAGGCTCTTCGCAATCACGACTCTGATTGCAAAGCTCTCACTCAAGTGCCTGGAGAGTCTTTTTCTGCCAAGGAACAGGGGAGTGAAGCACTTCACAGAGGAAATTACAGGAGATTCAGGCCGGTCTGAACCGGCCCAGACAAAGGCCACAGTTTCCCCGCTGAAGTCGGTATCAGGTTTTCTATTTCTTGGGAGAAAAATGTTAATTTTCAAAGTTGGACCTTAATTCCTATTCACTGAAGAAAATTGGCAAAATACACAAAGGTATTGCAATTGAAACAAACAACCCTGCCCCATAATCCAAAGCTGCTTTGAATTTTACACATTTCCCCTCAATTGTTCTTATGAATAGATCTCTATATTTTTTTTCCCCTTGAAAATCAGGGAGAGATTGTATATGAAGTTGTTTTTCTGTTTTTTTTACTTTAACATGAATAGTTCCCCATTGCCTTCGATTATTCCTAGAAGCATATTTTTAAGTAATTTTATAATATTCTTTTTTAAAAAAGGACCGTGTCTTAATTATTCACTTATTCACAATCACTTAGGCTGTTGCAATGTTTTATTATTACAAAAAAGGATTCTAGGAGACATTTTTGGACATAATCTTTGTGCACTTTTCTGATTATTTTCCTAGGAAGAAGGTTTTAAAAATTCAGGTCTGAAGGCTCCTTGATGCTCCCTCTCCATGAACTTGGCAAGTGGTCATACTTCCTTCTATTCACACCATCAATGTCTACTCATGATAGTTTTGAGAATCAGTACTCACCACTGAAGCTTATTATTAAAAATAGAAAGAAAAAGACAAAAAATGCCCAAGTATTAGCTGAAAAATTAGATGCTTTGTATTTCTTTGATGATTAGACATTTCTTCATGTTCATTGAATTGGGGTTTTTTTTTATGAATTATAATTTTGTGCCATTTACCTTCTTTTCATATTAGGGCAAATGCTTTTTTTTTTTTAAATCCCAATCAAAGATGTTGTTTTTAAGGGTTGTGGAATCTGTGCCAGCTCATAATGATGGAATAACGGAATAAAACCTCACCTATTATACCATGTTCACAATTCTTGTTCTGTTTGAGTCCATCACGGTAGCTACCTTGCCAACCGATCTTCTTGAGGCTCTTAATCCTTTTGTTGACTTTCTGCTTTACCAAGTATGTCTTTTGGCAGAGACTGGTCCCTCTATCCTTGCTTCAAAGGAGCGAACATTGAATATGTACGCTATACTTCTAAGATAGACTTGATGCTCTTCTAGCATCCCATGGTAGGCTGTTATTAAGTACAGTCTAGTTGGAACCAATTCATAGCTGACCCTCCAGCAGACTGAAATCACTAAAGTAGGAGACTGACCATTTTTCTCTTGTGGAACAGCTGGTGAATTCAAACCTCATGACTTCAGGACAGCAGCTCCACTCCTTTACTACTAGGCCACCAGAGCTAGCAAGCTCCAAAAGGACTCCCCAAAAGGAACTACTATGTTAAAGAGCCACTTTAAGGGGGGGTTTGTTTTTCTGGAACAATCTCTTCAAATATTGCTTTTGGATGCCTGCACAGATTCAAGGAGAGAAATACATACTAAAATGACAAGTTCTTATCACATCTCTGATCATTGGCTCCAAGAATCCCCATTTCTGAATATCTCTAATGTCTCATCCACAGCCCATATTTGAAAAGCACAGCATCGTAGTTATCCAGTGCTCTATGTTCATTTTCTCACACTTTGGGAGGTGCCTGTTGATGTCATGACCCTTCAGCACATTTGCTGAGGCAGTTGCTCAAACAGGAGGATCTAGAAATCTGAACTGAGATTATTGGTTCAGAGGGAAGACTTTCCATCTGTTGTCAACTTCAGGGGAAGTTTCTCGTTCTAGCTTCTGTTCCTTGATTCCTTGGAGATCTTTTTGTGCCCTGGCACCTATCTTTCTCTGTCTTGGCTTACTCTGCCCTTTCATATCTTAAATATGAATTTAAGGCACACTAATACTACCTCATCATAGCCACTAGTTTAGGGTTAGGATTTGTTACATATTTTGAGGAGAAACAATTCAATCCATAACAGGAAGTAACTATTTAGACAAATAAACTTGATATTGTTATGCCATCTGGAACAAAAGGCAAACAATACAAAGGAGTGAAGGCAGAGAAGAATGGTAGTTGAACAGAGTGTTGGGGTCTTGTACTTACTAGTCTTTTGACTTGTCACTTGTTGACTTCCAGCATTATCATCCACTTTAGTCAGTTTCCTAAACCAGAAAAATTACAACTATCCTTGATGCCTTATCCCTCATTAGCCTCACATAAAAATTATACAATGTATATAAGAAAGGAATTTAATTTACAAAATGTTTTCAATTTCTCCCTCTCTTAGGTCCTAATTATCTTTCTCTCTCCTTTCTTCTGTTTACTTTACCAAGGATTTCTTCTTTCCTCACCCCTAAGTTATACCAAGAATATAGTGGAAGTAATAAAAATCCTCCTCCCCACTCCCCTGCCAATATTTTGCATCTCCTAAATATTTTCTTTTCCAAGAAAACCTTTTCTTTTCTGAGCCTCTCCTAGCAAGCAACATGTCCAAGTATGGGAGACAAAGCTTTGCCATTTTTAACTCCAAGGAGCATGCTGGGTGCACCCCCATCAAGATGGAGTGATATGTGCCTATAGCAATGGGCTCAAGTGTATCAGAGCTGATGAGGATGGCACAGGATAGGACAGGATTCAGATCATTGTTCATAGGGTCACTTTGACGTTGTACTCAATGGTACCTAACAACAACCTTTTTGGGGAAGCTCTGGTGGCCTAACAGTAAGATGGTGAAAAGATTGAGATTGTTATCAGCTTTAGTTTGCTTGACTCCACAATCAACATTCTTTGTATCAACAGCCAGGAATTGCACTGGGTAAGTCTGCTGTCAGAGACCTCGCCAAAGTACTGAAGAACAATGATGTCAGTCTGGAGACTAAAGTGCATGTGACTCAGGCCATAGTCTTTGCAATTACTTGCTATGCATCAGAAAGCTGGACAATTAACTAGGGATGATAGAAGGAGAATTGATGCCTTTGAGCTGTGGTGCTGGAGAAGAGTATTGAATCTACCGTGGATTGCTAGGTTCATCGTAGAGAGGGTGAGACCAGGCTGCTCCTTTGAGCCAAGGATTCTTAAGTTTCATCTGAGATACTTTGGACATGTTGCAAGACGGAATCAGTCCTTGGAGAGGGACGTCATTCTTGGGAGGATGGAGGGACAGTGCAGCACAGGAAGACCCTTGATAAGATGGATTGATTCAGTGACTGGGGTAACGGGGGTAGGTGTGTCAGAGACATTAAGATTGGCACAGCATAGAGCAGGATTTAGGGCTATACATAGGGTTGCTATGAGTCGGAGGCAACTCGATGGCACACAACAACAACAACAGTGGTAAGAAGCTGTGTTGCAATTCCAAAGGCATATGGTTTGAATCCACCAGCTGCTCTGCAGAGGGAAAATGAGTAATCTCTTTTCTTGCAATTTACTGCCTCTGAAAACCCACTAAAGGATCAGTTCTGACTTGATGGCACGCAACAACAACAACAACAACAACAACATATCTTTTCTAAAGAATCCCAGTGGCACAATGTTTAAGGCACTGATTGCTAACAGAAAAGGTTGGTGGTTTGAACCCACCAGCCAAGAGAGAAAGATGTGACACTGTTTCTGTACAGCTTTAGAACTTTGTCCTGTAGTTGAGTTGGAATTTGTTCTATGGTTAAGAATTTTATTACATCTTTTCTTACTGTAATTCTGGTGGACTGGGGAGAGACTGAAAATTTCCAGGAGTCAAAAGGCTGGAGATCCCTCAAGATGTTAGGACAAGGCTCAGTAGGCATTCGAGAGTGAACAGTCAGTGGTGGCCAGAACTCTACATTACGGAGGTCAAGCAGCTCTGGGTGACATGTTCAAGGTGTGCCCCAAAGACTAGGTGTTTAAAGGTCTGAGAGGACAGAGACAAGTGTGACCAGGATGCTGAATGGGTCTTTAGATAGACTCTGCAGACACTCAGATGTATGCTATTCACAAGTAACGAATCAAAGAATAAGAACAACTCAGGGTAGCCTTTATGCATTTCTGGAAAAATCTGGAGGACAAAGGATTATTTCGTTGTTCCTATTCAAAAAGAAATAATAATTTTGATGGATTTGGTAGGACATTTAGGAGCCAAGTCCAACTGTGTGTGTAATTGTTTTGTAAAGGTGCTAGGACTTAATTTTCAGATCTCAAATAAGAACAGGTGGTGGCTGGTGGCAGGAGTCACAATGGTTTCCATGACAACGGGATTGAGTTTTAGTCATCCTCCCATCCTCCACAAGCCGTACGACAGCTTTTTTCATAAGGTGCTTATTAAATATTTGTTAAATGAATGATGAATCACAGAACGTCGTGTGTGCTTTGCAATTAGTGCCGCCGTTCTCTAGCTTGTCTAAAAGCTTTTAAGGCAACAATTATTGTATTTGCACATGCTATTTTGCATAATTTGCATATTAACTTGAAAATAACAAACCACACACTTCCATTCCCGGTGAATAACTTGGTCCCATCTCGCGCTGTCTATTGTGGAAGAAGTCGCCCACATGTTTGGTTAAAGTGAGTTTAAAAAGGGAGAAAGGGGTCTTGTGCCATGTCCGCGCCGCACGTCGGCCGGGAACGTGGCTCATTCCCTCCCCGCCCCCTCTCCGCGCTCCTCTTGCCGCGCAAAGGCGGCTGGAGCGGCGGGTTCCCCCGAAGCACAAACGGCTGGCGTCCCCCGTTGCCCCAGGCAACCATTGAGCCGAAGCGCGCGCTTCTTCGACCCTGCATCCGATAGTAAACGGGGTCGCCATTGGCCTGCCGGCCAGGTCAGGCCAATCGGAAGCCAGGTTCTAGCGAGGTGGCTGAGTGCGTGCTGAGGGGGGAGGAGGCCAGGACTGGAGGCAGCCGGGGAGGCTAGAACCCCGAGCGTGGTCGGTTGGAGAGAACATGTCTGTCCGGAGGCACATTGGGAACCCCGAGGTGAGGGTCAGCGCCGGGCCGGGGAGCTGGCGGGGGGCGGGCGGACCGGAAAAGGCCGCACGTGGGAGGGCAGAGCGGCCCGCGACTTCCGGGAGGGCGGGAAGCGGGCCGGGGGCGGAGGCGGGGCGCCGGGCGGGCCTGGGCGGCGGGGCGGCTGGTTGTCGGGACAGCGCTGCCCGCAGGGAGCTTCCGCTCACCCGGTGTCCCAGCGAGCAGGGACCGTGGGAGGAGTGCAGGGCAATCAGAGCAAGCCCGCGGGCAGCCCCGGGCCTTGACAACAGTGGGACGAGATGGGACGTCGTTGTTACATGCCGTGTTACTGTTGCTACACCATGAACTGCAGATCGGAATCCTGTCCTGTGCGCAGTCTCTGGGTCCGTCCATCAGCTTGAGGGACTAACTCTCTTTGGCTGACATTTCTGAGCATGATGTCCCTCTCCCAAGGAAGAGCCTCTCCTAGCAACATTCCCTAAGTGAGACAAAGACCACCCTTGCCTCCAAGGAGCACTCTGACTGCACTCTCTGCGAGACAGACTTGCTTGTTCTTGTAGCAGTCCATGGGATATTCGGTACTCTTAACCCCGCAACTCAAAGGCATCATTTCTTCTGCCATCTTTATGCATTGTCCAACTCTCAGCAGCGTAGTAAGTTAGTTTTACCAGGTAAGAAGCAAATATGTGTGTCTCCAAGACCTTTTCCTCTCTTATTTCACCCTTCCTGTGCTCAGCCTAGCTCCCTTATACAGTCGATGCTAGCAAAAAAGGGTGGAAGAAAAGGCCTTTAATGAGTTCAGTCTAGTGAGAGAGATCCCTAAGTAGGATTTTGAGGACCAAGCACTTGAGAACAAGGAGTGTGACATTCTTGAAGAAAGATGGATGTAAATACTCCACAACTCCTGCAGATGGCTGGAAATGAAGAGGTTGCCAGCAAGGAGAAGACATCAGGAGTAGAGCTGGCAGGCTGAATAAAGGAAAGGAGGTGTGAAACTTGGAGGGGAATAATGGAATCTGAATGGTTCCCTGGGTGCCATCAACTGGATTCTGACCCTTAGTGACTCTGTAGGACAGGGTAGATCTGCCCCAGAGGGTTTCCTGGGCTATAATCAGATTGCTAGGTCTGTTACTCAGAGCAATTAGGGGTTTTATTCAAGCCAATGCTTTAGCATCACACCACCAAGACACCATCCCATAAAGATTTCTACCAACTTCTGTTGAGTCAAGCCAATGACCCTCCATTACCAAGGCTTAACGGGAGCAGAATGTTCCGTCTTGTCTGCAGAGAAGCTAGTGTGTTTGAACTGATGATCTTGGAGTTTGCAGGCCAACACATAGCCATCTATGCCACAGATGCTGCAGGGATACTCTGCTTAAGGATTGCCTAAGACACTATTGACTCAACAGTGCACAATAACAACAGTAATCTTCATGAGAGCCTGTCAGTGAAGCGGAGGACCTTTGGTGGTATAGTGGATGAAGCATTGGGCAGCTTACCAAAAGATTAACAGTGCAAATCCTTCTGTGGGAAAAGATAAGACCGTTGCTCCTGTGAAGATTTTCAGAGACCCTCAGAAGCAGAGTCTCTGGGGACATCAAAGTCAAGTGGTATAACAGCCACAAAGACAATGCTCTTCCCTCTACTTTGATGACTGCCAACTGGACCTTTGAAAGCTTGAAATTAGACCGTATAAGGGGCAGCTAGCTATCGGTCTCTCTGTCTCAGCAAAGAAGAGTGAAAAAAATTTAAAGCTGCATAGAAGCCTGATGGACCATATAAACCTTAACCTCTGTGGCCCTGGGACCGGAAGAACTAGATGGTACCCAGATACCATTGTGGACAATGCTAAAAGGGACCTTTGCACAGGCACTGGGCTGTTGAGGAGAAAAATTAACAACAAAATTCAGATTCATAAATATGTCTGGACATGATAACCTGATAGAGAGCCATCAAGACTGTAGCCCTTTGCCACCTTTTGAACCAGGAACTAAACTCATACTGGTGACTCAGCTTTGAGCCAGAAACTGAGCCTGTAAGGTCAGCGGTGACCTCCTCGACGTACCCACTCTTTAGAATAATCAACCAATCAAGAATCAATACAGGATCAAAAGGTCAGCATTTACCCAAGGATAAAGCTGGAAGGCAAGAAAGGGTAGGGTGGAAGAATGAATGAAAACAGAATCCCCGAGAGGAAGGAGGAAGTCGCTATTCACAATGTGGGGAATTCAGTTAAAGTAAGAGAATTATGTATGCATGGTTGAATGGAAAAAACAATTTGTTTTATAAACTGTAACTCATTTCTAACACAAAATTGCAGCATTGGCAAACCTTACAGAACAGTTCTGCTCTGTCCTGTAGGGTCAGCTCCATAGCACTGTTTGTATGGTGGGTCCCAGCTGACCGCTTCACCACTGCAACACTGCCGCCTTGTAAGGATTTACAAAGACTTTATTAAAGGCTCTAGTAATCTAGAAAGACGGTAGTAAAGACCCGAAGGGACTCTGCCTTGCTAAAGGTCTTAACTTTTATAGTAACTGGACTTGCGCATTGCTTCGTCTTCTGGTGGATGAGTGCTGTGCAGGGAGAGGTCCAGAATTGATTAGTAATGTCTGCCAGGGGAGGGAGTGGGGCCTGGTGGTGCAGCGAAAAAATTCTCAAGTCCATGTGGAAGACTAAAGTTAGATTTCTGACCAGCACCTCTTATGCACCAGCACAGCTTGCTAGTGGAGTTTGTGTGTTGCTATAAAGCTAATCAGGTTTCAGTGGCCCTTCCACATACTAAAATGAACTAGTAAAGAAGACCTGGTGGTGAACTTCTGAAACTAAACCAGTGAGAACCTTCTCCATGACCTGACCTTCAAGTGACTGTGGACATGAAGCAGTATAGGTGCTTTGCATTCCACTTTGCATGGGGTTGCCATGAATCAGGCCAGTGGACAGCAGGACAGAGCCGCAATTTACAAAGCAGAGGTTAAGGTGTGGAGGATGACAGTTTGACAGCCACATATTTATCTTGCCTGCTGGTTGAGACACTTTTGAAGAGTTGTGAGTAAGAGAGTGACATGACCAGATTCCTAGGCATGAATCTGTAGCCACATAGTGGTGAGTGGATTTGTGGAGACAGGGAGAGTAGGTGGTTGTTAGTATGTTGTTATTTTTGTTACATATCATTGAGTTAGAACTGACTTATAGCTGACATTCCATTGGGTTTTAAGAGGCAGTAATTTGCTTGGGAGGAGATTGTTTGTTCCTCTTCCGCAAAGCAGCTGGTGAATTTGATCTGTGTTCCTTTGGGTTGGCAGCACAACTCTTTACCACAGCTCTTTAATTATGATACAGACCTCTCGTGGTCCCACGAGAAGAAGACCTGATGCCCTGCTGCTGTGAAGATTGTTGTTATTGTTTTTAGGTGTCACTGAGTCTCATGTTGCTTATAGTGACCCTGTCCTCTCCTGTACCAACCTTATCATCTCTGACACACTTGAGCCCGTTGCTGCAGTCACTGTATATCAATTCACCTCATGGAGCCTTCCTCTCTTTCTCCGACCCTCCATGTTTCCAAACATGGTATCTCTACCAAGGACTAGTACCTCTCCTAACAACATTGAAAAGTATGTGAGATGAAGTTTCATCATCTTTGCCTCCAGTAAGCATTTATGGTTGCACTTTCTCTAAGATATATCTGTTTGTTCTTTTGGCAGTCTATGTACTCTTCTCCAAAACCACAACTCAAAGGCATCAATTCATTTGTCTTTCTCATTCATTGTCTAACTGTCAGATACCTAACAAGTGACTGAAAACACCATGGCCTGAATCAGGTGCACCTTAGTCTTCAAACTGACATCTTCACTCTGTAGTAATTTGGAGAGGTCCTTGATAGCAGACTTGCCCAGTGCAGTATGTCGCCTGATTTCCTGTCTACCCATTCCAGGGAGTGTTGGTTGTAGATCCAAGTAGGATGAAATGATTGACAGTTTGAATCATTGCTCCATCTGTTATGATGCTGCTTTATTGGTTCAGTGGTGAGAATTTTTGTTTTCTTGATGTTGAGATGCAATCCTTATTAAAGGCTGTTAGCAAGTATTTCAAGTCCTTCTCACTTTTAGCACAGAAAAACTTATGAGGCAGTTTTGCATTGGGCTGCTCTTTGTCAAAATTGGTGCATTGGCACCTGACAGCTACACCAGATGCCATTAAAGAGGTGAGGCATATGGGAGAAAGAGAAGGTGTTAAGGAGAAGACGGGGCAAAGAAGCGGGACGCCTTGTAAGGTAATGCCTTGGACAAAGAGGTGAGGTTTGTTTTGGTGGAACTCCATTTCCAGTGACTTCTCAAGAATGCATGCAAAGGGAAGGCATGGATCTAAAATATTAGATGCATATAAAAATGTTTTTATTCTCCTCTTGGATTTGCTTACACATTAGGCTAAATACAGAATTTTTGGTTGGAAATCATAAGCGTGTTGGAAACATTGTTTGTTGACTTAATTGACACAGCATCATCCAGTGTAAAACAGAATATCCGGCACTGCTGTGGCCAAGTCCAAAACCACGGGGTTCCTGCATTTTTGTTTTTCCTCCCTTCTGTAAACTTAGCGAACTTTTTCTTTCTCCTGGATGCTGTGACATTTCACAAAGATACGCCTTGCTGTGATTCCATTTTCACTCAGTTTCTGGGCCTCAGAAACTCATGTCATTCTATGTTGGAAATACTTTTTATTTTCTCCTGTTTTTTCCTACCCTCTCTCTCTGACTCATTATTCCAATATTACACCTGTATCACTGGTCCTTCACTTTTCTCAACTTTTTCCCTCATTTTTCTATTTCCTCCTCTTGCTCTACCTTCTGAAAAATAGCATCATCTTTTACCTTTTAGTTCATCTACTGAATTTGTTGTTTTTAAGAGCTGGACTTTATAATCCTATATCCTTTTTGAGAACTTGCATTTTGACATAATTATAGATTTATAGGAAGTTGCAAAAATAGTGCAGCGAGGTCTCAAATATCT